CGATGTTTTTTCGAAATTCTATACGGGAAAAGTGAGCGCGAGAGCCCTCGGTGCGCCTGCTCGCTGCTGAAGTCAAAGTAAACTTTATTGTCATCTCCGCTACATAAGTCCAGTATATAGAGAGACGAGACGACGAGGCTCCAGTTACAGCACTGCAAGTAAACAAATAATAAATGTAAGAAAATATACCCTTTAGGACTCGGGGTAAAGGGATCAATAACAATTTAAAGTTTATAATTTACAGTTCTATGATTTAAAGTCTCACACACAACCCGTCGAAAGAGGAGGGAGACCTGCTGCTTCCAAGTAGAGCACATTTCATTCATAATGTTGTAAATTATGTATTCATGATTTGAATCCTGGGTTGTGTGAAATCCCAGAAATACACCTTAGACAAAGTGAATCTGTGAACTAAGGTGTAGGTCTATTAGGTTATGTTGTGGTGATCCTCGAGTTGGGGGACTTGTGTTCATACTGGAGTGCAAAATTAAAACCAATGGAAGATGGACAAGAAAAGTTCAAAGCCATCAAGTCCTCAGTTTAGAAAAAAGAGAAAAGAAGAGGAGGAGAAACGAACAAAAGATACAGGTAAGCAGATGTGTCATTGGATAATGCAGTGGTTCCCAAACGTTTTTTGCTGGGCCCCCCTTTGTTTTACAAGAAAATGTCCTCGCACCCCGCGTGCACGCACATGCACGCACACATCCTCCAACCACACACACCCATATTTTGCTCCATTGCGGTTTATTTCACACCTCAAACATTTAGTAAACAATTAAGCAAATACATGTAATCTGCAATAAATTACAAGTAGTAAGAAAATAAGCTACTAACTATTTTATGCTGCGTCCGCACCTACACAGGTCCACACGTAAACGACGTTTCAAATCACCGAAAACGGAGATTTTTTTTTAAACTCTGTTTTTGCATTTACATGTGGACGAGGAATACAGAGTTTGTCATGCAAAGTCAAAGGTATGTGCCTTTTTTCACGTCACACTGTGCGCCACGTTACATGAGATGAATTGCAGAATGGCAGATAGAGACAAAATACTGTTAATCTGACTATCTGCAGTTTTTACACGCTTACATACACAAGCAGTTATTAATGTCCCTCCGTTTACAAAGGCAGAGGCGTCACGATGTGATTATTTTACGTGTAGTTGTTTTTTTCCTGTGTAATAATATTCAACATTGCTATCAATACATTTTTCAAAAAATGCCTCTCTGTGCAAAATGGGTTCAAAAACATAAACAGCTGTGGGATACTGTTTGTCCGTGATTTGAACCGAGGGAACAAACTGTGGCAGGATCAGCCTGATATTATTTGTATCCCACTGTAACTTTACTGTATAAAGAGCTAACATCTCCAAAATGTCAGGAGTAGTTAGTCATTACAAGAAGTGTTTGTGAACTAAAAATCAAGAATGTGGGATACTGTTTGTCCGTGATTTAAACAGCCCAGCGCTGCTCCCGACGAGGGAAAACCAATTCTGCAGGGGAGACCTACCTTGGCACTTGTGCAGGTGAAACCAAAGGGAAGATATGCTTCACCATATTTTCTAGTCTTTGGCTTAGAATGAAGTTGGTTTGGAAACATATTCAGCGATGCTTCATCTCCTGCTTTGCGTTTCTGACCCCGTGCTAGCAGTGTCCAAGCGTCAGTGTCAATTGTTGATTTGTCCTGTTCTCATTGTATGACGAATTATGATGGCTGTTTGGTAGCAGTTTGCATACAATGCATACTCTCTCTCTCTTCATGTTTGTGTGTGTGTTTTTGTTGTTGTTGTTTTTTTCTTTTTACTTATGTAAACTGTGCAATAATCAACAGCATTTGTAGCTATAATGTTCGAGTTCCCTTTTGGCTTTTCTGATTCATATGAATATATAGAAGAAATCTGTGCATGGTCCTTGTCTGAAAGGTGGCACCACCAACAAATTCACAGTGGAAACAAGGTATTTATGACGGATTCATGGTGAAGTGTCAGAAATCTGTTTTCTGCTCATATTGTAAAACTCTATCGTTTTCCCTGTGCAGAGCAGCAGGTACAGTTGCCCCTGGTCTACCAATAGAACTTCCATCTGAGGCCAAAATGTCCTGAACTGACAACAAGGATGGCAGCTGCAGTGTGGAGTACATCCCATATGAGGCTGGCACGTACAACCTCAACATCGCATATAGAGGACAACCTATCACAGGTGCTGAATGGTATTTTAGTAGTATTAAGAAATACAATTGTGAGATAAGAGCATCTTAAGTGTATAGTGTTGAAATGTACTCCATCTGCTGCTGTTAAAAAAAGGGGGGGGGGCTTAAATATTTCTTCTAATATTCCCTCATGTCTTGCCTGAGCCCAAGAAGGCAAATATCCATTACAACCATGATGGGACCTACCTGGTGCATTATGTGCCAGACATGGCTGACAGATACACCATTCTCATTGAGTACGGAGGAGACGAGATCCCTTATTTACCCTACTGAACCAGGCTTCTGTTTAGCAGAGATGCCAGCAAGTGCACTTTCACAGGTATGTACTGGACAAATGGGCTTCTGCAGTCATAGCAGTTATAGAGGTTTTGTTGTTGTTTTCTTTACTTTTTGTGGTTTTCTACTAATTTGTCAAAGTCAGTTGTACTGCTGATCAGCTTCTCATTTCAGTAGGAATAATTAGTAGAACATATTGTGTTTAATACTGATACAAAATGCACCTAGATTTTCAACATTCACATCTGATTCTTATAAACAATATATGCCCCCTTTTT